GGGTGGAGCAGGAGGAGGAGAAGCCCGGGGGTGCACTCCTGTGTGTGCTTTGGCACAGGGAGCTGCACACCTCGGAGGGGCTGCAAAAACCTGCCAGGGCTGCAGCCAGGGGGACAGATTAGCATTGCTGGCTTTGTATTTTTTACTGCATTCTTTCCCTTTTCACTCTGCCTTGACATTACAGCTGGCACATGGTGCCGAGGTTCTTCAGGTTTCTGATGTACTTACACTAGCTGCAATCTTCATTTCATAGCCCTGGCACTTGGAACAATGCTTTGCTTTCTTATTAACATGTAATTATGGGGTTTGGACATATAGAGGTTGGCATTCCCTATATGATTCATTTCTTTGGTATCCAGCTCTTCTCCTGAGGCACCAGAGACCTGAAGGAGGGAGGGAAAGTCTGCTTGGCCTCTCCTCTGAATTCCAGCCTCACTGTAATTGGGTTTGTGTCGGGATTTTAGTGCTCTGTGTGTTTTCCTAAGGATGACTGGAGTCTTCCATGACTCGGTGGGGCAGGCCCTGGAGGTGCATTACTCATTGATAAATGCTATTGAGTGATCCCTGCATTTCAACCCACGGAAAATCCAAACAGCTCTGAGGAAACCTTTGGTCAGCAGCACTGCTCTGCTGAACTGATCAAAGCCCAGGTTTGTTTCTTTCTTCAATGCTGAATTTCATGTGGCCACCTCTGCCTGGCTTTTGGGTTTCTCACTCCACAGACAGAATGGGTGCAGGTCAAAGATGGAGCTGCCAAAACCAAATGTGACTTTTTATGCATTTTAAAGAAAACAAGAGAAAAAAAAAAATCTATTAGTGTAAAGTCATGTATGCAGAACTCTAAAACCTGTTCCTCTTCATGGGAGGAGATGGTCGTCATTCAAAAAAACCAAACAACTCATGTGCCCCCAGAAAGGTGGTGCAGCTGTGTGGGACATGGGGAGAGACAGGGAGACACAGGATGGAAAGGAACCAGGTCATTTGAGTGAGGAAAGATTAGGGAAACCCCCTGTGGTTTCCTGCAAAATGAGACATCAAGTTCCTCGTGCTCTCCAGCCTGCCTCTGCCTCCAGAGCTGGGCCGTTAAACTCTCATGAAGGAGCTCCTAAACAGGAGAAGCATCACGGGGGGTGGTGGCACTGAGGGACAGCATCACCTCTGTGTCCCTGAGAGGGACAGGATCACCTCTGTGTCCCTGAGAGGGACAGCATCACCTCTGTGTCCCTGACAGGGACACGGGATCCCTGACAGCATCACCTCTGTGTCCTGGGGTTAGTGCTGGGCTTGGGCACTGTTGTTTTTTTATCTTCTGCTTCAAGATCCTGCTTCCCTGAAGGAGACCTTGGCTAAAAGTGTTCCTGGCTGAGCTGTGGCTTGCAGTGCTGTTACAGGAGTGTCCTTTGGAAGGTCACCAGCTGCCAGCCTGCCTTCCCGTCTGCTCCATCCCACCGTGGGGACTGGCTCCTTCCTCTCTCCAGGTCTCTCCATGTTTTTTTAGCCTGTTCCTTGCACACCAGCTAGATGGGAGGTGACAGAAGTTGGGATTGCCAGCTGGAAGGGCAGAGGGGGTGCAGGTGGGTCAGAAAACCTGCAGAGGGTCACTGCTCCGAGGGCTTCCTTAACCATGGATTACTTGGTGCCCACCTTAGAAATCCTAATTTTCACTCTGCCTTCTCCAACACGGACTTCCTTTGGAGTGGAGAGAAATATTTCATTTACAGGGAGGCTGAGCACTGCCCTGTGCTTGGGTGTCAGCACAACAGGGGGTTTGTGGGTGCAGAGGATGGAGGGATGGAGGGATGGATGGATGGATGGATGGATGGATGGATGGATGGATGGATGGATGGATGGATATTTCTCTTCTGGGGAACCTGCTTGGCTGGACTTCTGGCTCATCTGGGAGTGGGGTCAGAACCTCCTTGTGCTTCCTCCCCGTTCCAGCTGCTCAGATCTCCAGGTCCTGCCATGAGCACCCCAGAATTCTCCAGGTCCCAGCTGAGACATCAAAGGGTTGGGTACTCGTTGAGCTGTGTGTTGGGTGAAGTGCCTTTCTCCCCTGGAACCTGTGTCACAAAACATGTTTATATATATATATATATATATATATATATATATGGAGAAATGCTTCTTCCAGGATGCCCAGGGCAGCCCGTTGGTTCAGCAGTGAGTCCTGGCAGGGTGATGGGAAAGGAGAGAGGCTCTACACAGAATCCCAATTGCAGTGCCTTGGGCTTTGAAATGATGACAGAAAATTTTCCTGCTCACATTTGTTCTCATTTAGCTACAGCTTGTTCACCAGGATGTTTTTCAAGGAGGGTCTGCTCAGTGCTGGCAGAGGAAAGTCTCCAATTTCCCAAGCATGCTTATCACTTTGTCCTTGACAACGATGGGAACTTGCAGCACTTTTTTTCATGGAGAGGCAAACATGAGCAGTCCTGCCCTTGCAGGCAGCATTGTCCTGCTCTTCCTGTGTGCTGAATCACGCAGGACAGATAAAGTTTCCCTAAAATATTGTTGGCTTTGCAGATGTCAGACCTGGGAAAGTTGGGTGGGAGGGGGAGGAGAGTGAATATCTGAACTGTAAATTGAACAAACCTTGTAGCTCAAATAAAATGCCTCCCATCCCTTGGGAAATTGTTTTGGTGTAGGATGGACAATACTGAGTTTAATAATGATGAACAATAATTTTAAATACTGCAAACAACTCTACAAGTATGGAGGGTTTGTGTCTGGAGTAGAGCAGCATTGGTGGGGTGGGTGGGTCAGATGCAGAGGGTAGAACACAGGGCAGTGGTTGATGTTTGCCCTCTGCCCTCCCTTTGTGGGGATTCAGGGATGGTTTGGGCTGCACGTCAGGAATCAGGAGCTCATGTTTTAGGAAAGCTAAAGTGTATATAAAGTATATTTACAAAGCCCAGGATTTTTTAGATGCTGATCTCATTTTACATAGGGATTCTGGGGAGATGACAGAGTGTTTTTAGAGCAGATGGAAACATGCACTGCAAGGATGGTGCTTAAATGTCTGGGCTCTCTGGGAGAGCAAAACCTCCGTGCTTCTTGTGCCTTGGACATTTCCTTTGTGCTGCAGAACTTTGATAATTTTATGTGGCCTTTGTTATCTCTGTGTACCATCAGACTGGTTTTATCTGTATTTGATACAGTGCTTGTTCCTTGATAAGGCTGAGAACATAAACACCCTCCATAATGAACATCTGGGACCTGAGGGAACAGCTGGAGCTGTGTCAGGAGAGGGTTAGTTTGGATTTCAGGGAAAGGTTCTTCCCCGGAGGGTGCTGGCACTGCTCTGGCTGCCCAGGGAATGGGCACGGCCCCGAGGCTGCCAGAGCTCCAGGAGCTTGGACAGGGTGGGATTGTTGGGGGTCTGTGCAGGGACAGGAGCTGCACTGGGTGATCCTGGGGGTCCCTTCCAGCTCAGGAGTTTCTGTGATCTGCTCTGGGGAGGTGAATGGTGCAGAAAACCATTCCCATTCCATTCCTGGTGTCACAGGGATGGCAGCAGGGAAGCTGCAAGAGCTAATGTCACACTCTGGCACTACTCTTGTAAGGACAAGGGCTCCTTGCATCACAGGGAAGTTTGGGAAGCACAAGGAATGCTGTCTCTTCACTGTCATCCCCTTTTCCCTTGTAGAGACATTTGGGAAATCTTTTGTTTGAGGGAATACAGTCAAGCCAATAAAGGCCTAATAGTAAAGGCTGTGTCCTGCTGATGGAGCTGTGTTCCTTCAATGTTCTTTAACCCTCTGTCATCATCCAGTCAGGGTTATGATCCAAACATTTGGGCAGGGTATCACTGTCTGTGTGTGCTCTGACTTCTGCTCTTGTTGCTCCAGGGCCACTGGACCCAGGGTTCCCTCAGGGCAGAGCTGCAGTGCCACAGCTGCAGTGCCACAGCTGCAGTGCCACAGCTGCCAGAGCTGCAGTGCCAGAGCTGCAGTGTCACATCTGCAGTGCCAGTGGGGTACAGAGCCCCCAGGGCACTGCCACTGTCCCCAAGCCCGGCTCAAAGGCAGGCAGGACTTACAGGGACAGGGATCAATAGTGGGCAGAGTGCTGGAAGTGGAAGCAGAGCAAGAGGCTGTGCAGCAGCTCTCAGGGCTTGGCTGCTGTCCTCTCCTGCTTGATCATGCACGAAGGAAGCCTCTCCTACCTGCGGGGCTGAGGGCAGCCAGACACGGTGTGTGCAGACAGCAGAAGCACTGGCTGTGTGTTCCAGGGAAATCAGAGCGTAACAGGCAGTGAGAGGGAAATTTAGTGCCTGATTGTGGCTTTTAATTTTGAGCCATCCCATCAACCACTCTCAGTGTAAGCCTTGTACCAGCTCTGCTTTCCATGACAAAATTAAAGCCATCAGTTACAGGAGGTTGAGGATGGCTTGGCTTCAAGTTTTCCTTTCTCCTCTCTTAAAACTTGATGCAGGGGAAACTTTGCCCACTTTTGTTTTCCCAGAGGATCTTCTGGGCTGCAGGGAGAGCTGCCAGACCAACAGCTCCAGGAGGGAACCAGGGCAGGACTTCGTGACCTCAGTGGTTGCGTGGTCAGGACTGCACTGAAGCCTTTGTGAAGATGGTGGATGTGCCTCAGTGAGGATGTCGTGACCAAGTGTTGAGATGCTGTTCCAGGGACTGAAATTCCAGATTTCCAATAGCTTAGGCACTAATTCCTTCACTTTGGCTCAGTGAGGGAATTCACCTCAGCTCTGTGGCTGCCATCATCCTGTACTCCCTGACCTCCCAGACTGATGCTGCTGTTTCAGGCTGTATTTCTTCCTCCACTTCAGGCTGTACTTTCTCCTCCACTCTTGCAGTGGAGCACTGCACTGGATCTGAACTTTCTGGTGTGGCATCTCCCAGGATTTGGACCTTTCAGTGATGTGAGCACTGGGGGATGCAGCTGGTTCCATTCTGGGGCTTTCAGCAGGAGGGTGGCTGGGCTGGGGTGCTGTGGGCTCGGATTTCATGTTGCTGTTCCTCTTTCCCCAGAGATCATTGACGACCTCACAAGCCTGGTGGAGAACACGGACGAGCGGCTGCGCAGCCAGACCCGGCACGTGAGGACGGTGGAGAAGAAATCGGCGTCCTGCGGTAGGGAAGGGCTGCAGCACAAATCACTCCATGCCAGGGCTTCCTTGGGAAGGCCAGACAGGGCTAAAGAATAAATAGGGATTTATTAAAATTATCTCCTCCATGGACCCACCTTGGGCAGCGCCAGAGCCCAGCCAGGGCTGCACCCAAATGACCCAAAATGGTCCCAAAATGCACGAGCGCTCCCAGGGGCTCTCCCTGGGATCAGTTCTGCTCCATTGGCACCTTGGAGTTCATTGTCCCATTCCAGCTCCAGCCCAGCAGTCCCACCCTGCTTGTTTTTCTCTCTCCAGCCCACGGTGTTTGTGCTCCTGGGCTGAGGTTTGGATCATTTGTCCTTGGTGCCCAGCTGGAGCAGGAATTGTTTTGTCTCCCTGCTCTGTGCAGAGCCAACCATCCCCTCATATGAAGCTCAGAACTGCACACCTATGCAGCGCAGAATGTGAAAAATACAAAAGCTAAAACTTAAGGCATCACCAGGGCAGTTCTTCCCTGACGATGTGCAGTTATTAACTGTTGCTAATTGCTGTGCAATGCGCTCCCCCCCGAGGACAGCTTCTTTCAAAGGCACAAACCCCAGCACTCCAAACAGCTCCAGCAGGTCTGGCTGCCTGTGCTGAGGGGCTGGTGCAGTTAATTTCCTTGAGCCATTTGACTCCAGCGTTGCACAATGTCCTGATTGTATGAGATGGTTTGCAATTAGAGCGGTGCATGTTAATTAGCTTTACACAAACTTGCTACCAGCTCTCACAAAGCTGGCACAGCGGGGAGCGAGGCCGCAGGGGCGTTCCTGGGGTGTCCTGCAGGAATGAGCTCTCAACCTAGCAGCACTCAGAGCCTGCCAGGCACGAAATCCTCCCCGGTGACTCCTGCAGTGATGTGCAGGCTGCTAAAGCTGGACTGGCCCCCCTCTGCAGAGAGCCAGGCTGGGGATGGTCTCAGGTTTGGATGAAGGGCTGAGGGGAGGGAGCTCTGAGCAGGACAGGAGGCTGTGGGTGGTGCAGACATTGTGTGGGGAGAGTGATGAAGTCCCTGGGGAGGTGGTGGCAGTCCAGTTCTGGTGTCCGTGGTTTTTGTCCTGCTAGAAAACTCACAGTGCTCTACAGAGTTTTGACTTAGGGTCAGAAGTTGTTGAAATTTGGTTTATGTAGTTCAGGAAAGAGAAAGCCAAGGGCTGATGTGGTCACAGCCTGCTTGTGGCTGGTGGGAGATTTCCTTCTGTGGAGTGAGGCTCTGGCTGCAGGAGCTCCCCAGCTTAGACTGGCAGTGAAGCATCTTTCCAGCACTGACAACTCCAGGGATTTATTTGGTTCTCCATCAGTGATAACGTTTTGAAAGCTTGGTTGATGGAGGTTGATGAAAACCTGGGACTTCTTCTGGAGGTTAAAGTTGACTTGTCAGAGTCATTTGTCTCCGAGTTCTCCCGTACCAACTGCAGATGGAATTAAAGGCGTGACTGCAGAGTTCATGACTGACTCTTTTATTTTAGATCTTGAATGTTGATGCAAGATGGATTTAATTTAAAACTAAGTGCAGTTGAATGATGCTGAGTACCCCTGTGTGCCTTTGGAGTCTCCCCTTAATTCCTGTGGCTTTGTTTTCCTCACGAATCCGGGGCAGCTCAGCTTGATATGGGCAGGGAATCAGTCCCGTGGGGTCCAGGAAGGATTTCTCCCCATTTTTAGGTTCCTTGTGCAAGTGCAGCCCCAGACATGTTGCATGATGACAAGGCTGTCGCTTTAACTCGGGAAGCCCATCCTGGCTGCCTGGGGAATTTCAGAGGAGGAGGAGGAGGATGGGAGAAGCGAAGGCTGGGAGGATCCTGGCCTGGATTCCTTGGGGGTGACCTCTCTCACCCTTTGCACATTGGAAAACATTTGGCTTTGGTGAGAAGTGCTGCCTCTGGTGCCTGTTCCCTCTGCTCCCATAGGTCTTCCTGTGTTTGCATAACAATTTGGGCATAAGTAAACAGCATAGTGCCTCAGATGGCTGCTTCCTCCCACCCAGGCGTGAGCTCTGGACCAGCAGTGCTGAGGACACAGGATTTAATGGCATTCCTCCCGTCCCCTTTCCACCTTAGCCCTGGCACTGGGATGAGCTGGTGCACTGGGATGAGAAATACCCTCCCTGTACACATGATTATCCCTGGACTGAGGCCAGGCAGCAGGAAAACTGGCACCTGCCAGGGGAGCCCGTCAGAGTGCCTGTTCATCATTTAAATTGATCAAATCTTCAGCAGCTCTTTGGGCTTGGTGTCTCACTCTGGATTTAAAGCAGGGTGAAGCGCTCACCCTGCTCACCCTGTCCTTACTCAGACCCAGTCTCCACTCTGTTCCAGCATGTGGCTGGCAATGTGCTTTTCCCTCCTTTTTGAAATCCTGATGTCTTTTTCTTTTCCTGATGAGTGCCTGTGCTGGAGCCACGGGCTGTGGACACAAGCAGAGCACGCTGGCTGGAATAATGGAATAATCCCTGTTTTACAAGCAGGAATGTGATGCATTCATGGGTGTGTCTTTGTTAGCAGCCAGCATAATCATAAAATCAAAGTATTGCTGGTGAAGCCCAGCTTTAATCAATATTTCAACATCTCCCTCTCATGCAAACCTCGTTTCCAGCTGTGGGGGCCATTCCAGCACCCGCTGGCCTTTGGGCTGTGCCCTTGGCATCACCTGCCTGGCCCAGGAGCTGCTCCTGCCCGTCCTCAGCCTGGCACAGGTTGTCCTGGCTGGGTTGTTGCACTCACACTTATTTTCAGTGCTGTTTTTCTGGCTGTGTCCCAGCCCCTGCCGTGCCCAGGGAAGGCTGTCCTGTCTCCCAGTGGCCTCGGGCAGCCCCTCACTGGTGGCACTGGGAGCTCCCAGGGGTTGCAGAGGAAGGAGAACCACGGGATGGACTCCAGCCTGCTGCATTTATGAAATTATTGTTGAAAATCATCAGTCATCCGCAGGCAAATGTTTGCACGCTGCCTGGCATTGTTTTCTCCCTTCCCAGTGAGTGCTGGGCATTAGGAGGGGTGCTGGGACATATAAGTTGCTTAGATTTGAGGGATTTGCACTGAGCTTTCACCAGAGTGCTCACACAGATCATCAGTCAAGTGTCAGCTGCCTGGACCAGCCTTGCTCCAGGAATGGCTGTCTGCACAGTCCTGACTTTGCAGCCTCACCAGTGGTGCTCTTGGGTTGCTTTGTCCTCTCTCTCCCAGTCTGGGCATCTTTAGGGCTTTCTGCAGAGCAACATTCACTAACCATTTCTCAATAACTTCTTTATTAGAAACTTTAACCCTTAGAATGTCCTCTTAAGAACTACATTTAAAATTTTGTAAATAAATTGAAGTGTAATTAATGTAGAGATGCTGGGGTTTGGTGCTTTTGGGTAACTTTCCTCCCATCCTTGAGTTCTGTAGTGGGATTTTTTGTTTGGTTATTTTCCCTAGAGACCACGAGCAGGCAGCCCCCTGCAGAGAGGATGGTTAAGCCAGGCTTTGGCTGTGATAAGAACATCCTCAAGTGTTAGTGTCTGGAGAAGCCAAGGGGATTTTGGTAGCTCAGGGCACAGCTGGAAGCCCTGTTGGTAGATGTGACCTGTGCAGAGGTGGTTGCACCTCAGCTGTGCCATGTGTGGAGTCAGAAATTCTCTTCAGGTCCTGGAAAAGAATGAATTTTGGGGAGGAAAGCTGGGCATTGCTGGTTCTACCTGGGAAGCCCATCCTGGCTGCATGGGAATTACTCCTGGTCCTACCCCTGGTTCTTCTGCAGCCGGGGAGAAAAGCTGCTTCTCTTTCTTGGGGAAGCAACACAGAAAATTATGATTTTGGCACAGTAAACACAGGCAAAAAAAGAGGGAGCCTTCATTTCTGCTAGGTGAGTCTGTGAGTCTGTGTCCATGAGGGCAGCAGACCACGTTCTCCCTGTGGCCATCCCTCTCAGCTGAATGAGGAGAATGAGGAGCAGCCACAGCAAACCCCTTGTGGGGCAGAGCTGTGTCCTGCAGAGCAGCCCCGCTGCACAGAGCAGTTTTCCCCTCCCTGCTTTCCTCCTGTTCCACAAGATGGCAATGCAATCTAACCACCTCCCTCAGCCCCAGGTGGAGGGAGGCTCTCCCCTCTGCCTCCCTGCTCAGCCAGGGGTGGGGGCTGCCAAAGGCAGGGTGCAAACTACAGCAGATTAATCTGTACCAGGTGGGTTACTTTTTTTAATCTTATCAAAACACCTGAATTAAAACCAGAGCTTTGCTAAGCCCATTAATTGGAGTTTTTGGAAGGTTTGGTTTGTTTTAAAACAGGGTAGCTTGGATTATATAAGGTTTCCTCTAGAAAATAATGATTCATGCAGGCTGGAGCCTTTTCCTGCCAGGTTCTGTGATCTCTCTGTTCTAAGTTTTGCTTATTTGTGCCACGGATTTAATTTGTTTCATAAATGATGATGGCAGCTGCTCAGGTTTGTTCCTCTGACGTATCCTGTGTGTTTAGATGAGCGAGTCCCCATCCATTTGTTTTTTGCTCAGTGGAGAGGAGGAGCTGGTTCAGTTGCCATGAAATCAGCCTTTCCTGCAATCTGACACTGATCTTCCTCCCGGGGCTGCCCTGACAACTGCACTGCTCTGAGTCACCTGTCCAGCCTCTGGTGGGATGAGATTTCTTGGCCTGGCAGCTCAGATCTTTTCCTGAGATGGGGCCCGAGCTGGTGGCAGTGCCCCCAGCCTGGTGCTCACCCCTGCAGTGCCCCCAGCCTGGTGCTCACCCCTGCAGTGCCCTCCTGGCCTTGCTCTGCCTCCTCTTCCTCCTCACACTCACTCTACTCACTCCTTAACTATTTGCTCCTGCTGAGGTGTTGGAATGGATTCAGCTGATGAAAGAGGATGGACCTAAGCAGCCATAATCAGGGGTTTTTTGTAGAAAAAGATGGTTTGGATTTGCTTTCAGACTCCCAGGTGGGAAGCACAGCATGTCCTGCTGCTGTCAGCTCTGTGTGTGTTGAGCAGGAAAAGATGGGACCTTCTGG